AGTGGTGGAGGGAGTGTGTAAACTGAGACATTGATTTGTAAGCCAGCCTCCTGCTCCCCCTTGTACTTGCACTGGACATGCAGGCTGTCAAGAGACACAAATAAGTGGTGGAGTTTCAGTCAGTAACCCTTCCCTCTACATACCAACAAACCCCACTGCCCTCTCACCTGAAGGTTATTGAGCCCTGTGGCCCCGCCTGAATCATCCTCTTCCCTAAGATGTCTGTTTCATACACAAAGCTTCCAATCTCCTCCTGCAATGGAGGACACTGTTTAATAGGGAGCTGGCCCATTCAAAAGGGACAGAATGCCGGACCCGCCAATACTCACCCGCTGGGTCGAGCCACAAGAGGTAATTGGGAAGCGGAAGGCTACAAGTTCCTCTGTGATGAGCTTAGGCCTGCACTCAGCTTCTCGTCCATCTTTCACGTACAGAGGAGATGACAGGTTGAGGGCAGGACGGGTCAGATTCCTGGTAATCGCTAGAATGAACTGGCCATCTGCTGTACACACTGCAAAGAGAGAGAAAGAAAAAGTATTCAGTTTCCCCATTGGTTGTTGTGGCCTGCAATCATTGACAGAGAGAGATCAAGATTGAAAGACCAAAAACTTCAATCGTTATGCTGCTTGGAATCTAGTTGACATTTGGTTTTTTTAAAATTCTAATGGAGATAAAGAAAGTTACCGCAGATCATTTGCCTTTTGAGTGTCAAGCCATGCGACCAATCAATAGAGGCTGGTGAGTGTTCTGCAAGACTGAAACATTTGGCATTCAGTTAACCGAGGAACACCATTAATGGAACCTTTTAAGGGAGGAAGGAGAAGCTGAAAAAGCCACAGGAATTTGAAGACTGAAAGACAAAAGCTGAAGCAAACATGCTCAAGAGAATGTAAATTCATATGTATATTAGGGGCAGGATGTGCTTGAATGTCAGTTGCATGGGCACAAGGTCCACATGCAGTAGCAATGTCTGGAACTGACAGTGAACAATGTCAGCCTGTCCATCACAGCTCCTAACCCTGGGGCAGATGCACATGCAGCTTTTGGGGGAAATGTTCAGAGGGGTAAGGAAAGAAAGCAGGAATTGTGTGGAGGATCACCACAATCTGTGTGTGGGGGAGCAGGGTCACAGGGCTGAATGGCCAACCATCCAAAAACTGGGATTTGGGCAATGCACCAGTATGCATCAAGAGAAATCTCCATGAAAGCTGAGCCATAAAGGAATACAAGGAAAGCTGATCCAGCTACAGACCTCCTGTATCCAACCAGGTCACAGCTGTCGTGTGAACATGGCAATGTGCAAGAGCGTCACTTCTCAGATCTATTCAGCCCACCCAAGGGAAGAAACAAGTCTTCAAGCAAGTAACAGATCGATCTAGGAAGTGTACTGCCCATTGTGTAATGAGCAAACCTCTCATCTTTTAGGTGGAAGCTTGGTTACAGTTGAAATTGCAAGAAAACAGGGGCTAAGCAAACTAAATGCAGAACACTGCCTAGAATCATTGTCACAGGCGCTGGAGAAGTGATGCTCAGAACAGGGCTTGATCAAAACGGACATGAAAGAAAGTTGTGTGTCAAAGAATCATAATGCAGGCTAAAAAGATGTTTAATAATAACTCCCTGCTGTCAGGAGTAGAGCTGGAATGTTTCAGTACACCAGCTTGTTCAGCTGCAGTCCGCTATTCCAGTGTTAGTGGCCGTAATGTCAGTTAGTGAGAATATTGGGCGTTGGCAGGCAGGGAAGAGCAAGAGCATTTGTACCCGACATCCAACTTCACCCAGAAACTACCAATCTAGTTGCTGTCAAATACAGTTGGTGAGTTTGGGTTCCTGGCAGCATCTACATACAGATGAGATTCATGGAGGTGGTAGCAGAGGGGAATCTGGGCCCAGTACAGGATCTGGCAGCAGCTGCCTTGGTGAGGTGGGCCTGAAGCAGACTCATGGTAGTGGCAAGTCTGGGCTGGTGCAGTACCCTGTGGTGTCTGCATTGGTGAGGCCCCGTGAGAGTGTAATATGGTGCCCATGAACAGTAACAATTGTTGCCATGATGGCACTATGGCAAAGTGGGACTTCAGAGCCTGGTTACCAGGCCTGCAGAATGACTGTAAGGTTTACACCTCTGTTTTTGTATTCTATATTCTGTTTTCCCCATCTTCACATGGGGCCAGAGAATGCCATCACGACTAAAATTCAAATCAGAAGTGAGATACCAATTCTACATGCCAACTTCGACTGTTCAGCAGAGATCACAGTCAACAGTCCTTTACTGCAGAGGCTATTCAGCCCAGATGCACATGGAACAATATTCAGTCTGTCTCACTGACCAGCTCCAAATCAGGCCTGCAAGTTCACTTCCTTGAAGGACCATTCCTTCAAACCATTCCTTGGTCATTAATACTGCAATGGTGTAAAAATAGTGAAAAATCATTTCTTCAGCTTCTTGAGTAAAGTCTGTGCCCCCAGCCCTTGTCTGCTTCAGACAGAGACCTCTCAATGACTGACACCTAATCAAGTCTCAATCCCTTTTGGAGGGAAGAATTACAGCATTCCCCCATTTAACATTGCAACAAAAACACCACAACAAGGGCTCAATTTCAGGAAGTCCCCACAGCCTCAAGGACCTTCACATCCAGCAACATCCCCACTCGGTGCCTCTATGAAAGAGAGTATCCTATTTACTTAGCCAACTATCATTTCAAATGCCATGCCACCTTTGAAGATGACAACACATAGGCACAGGTCTGTGCCTACTTCAGAACCACACCAGTGATTTTATCAAGGCTCTCCCTATCCCTTCCATGATATTAAACGGAGAAATCCTTCAATGGCATTTGCACCTTCCCCAGCCATTATGCTGCTGGCCTGTTAGAGTTGAATCAAGAGTAAAACAGAACTCTTACTACCACACAGTCAGATACCAGTATTACCTTCCAAGGTACACAGCATGTTTTGGTTTTATTTATGCAGTGTTCAGTCACACAAACACTCAAAGCTGCAGAGTTTCGACAGAAGTGTGTAAGGAACATGCCAAATGTACAAGGTTAGACTGTCTCAACCACAACAAAACAAACACTTCCAACTTGTTGTTTCCCCTACTTTGTTTTTTTTTGGGGGGGGCGCAGGGGGAAATTAGATAAAAAAAACACAACCAAAAGGAAGCTAAATTAACTCTACAGGGTTTTATTTGACTGGTCAGTCAAGTGGTTTCCTTGTCATGGACTTGACCCAAACATCTCCAAGTAGCTAGAGATTTATTTGCTCATGTGATGTTAGATAAACTAGCCCATAACTGCCAGGACTTCCCTCTGACCCCCTCTAATCTGGGGAGGGTTCAGTATGACAGGGCTTGCTCTAATTCATCTCTGCACGAAAGGAGGCAAGCTGCACAGACCAAGTCATGTATCTACTCCAAACACCATCTTGTTTATTGGAGATCAATCTTTTCAGCTCCACATGGGCATTATTTGATTCTTCTGTAAAAGACTCAGGAACACTATCCCAAACAGCAGATTTCAACTTGGCAGTTTCTACCTTCACACAAAGAGCTGAAATACCCAACTAACAGCTTCAAACTGACAAACACCTCAACATTACAGTATCCTGTCAAATTTCATGAAGATTCCCAACACCTGCTTCCAATGCAGGAGAAACAATCCAATTTGACCAAAATAACATAATTCATCATCAAACCAACCAGCCACTTCACTCGGGAACATCCCCGACTCTACTCGAGAGAGACAGAGTCACATTGCTGGGTTATTTTCTCAGGCACAGGTTATTTTGTCTCCCTCCCACTGACTCCCCACAAACAGTCCTCCACCATTACACAAGGAAACAGGAACAAAGTCCCGGCTGATTGCTTCAGTGTCAGGCTCATTTGCTCGCTGTGGGATCCGGGAGGGGGCTGCTTACCCGGGCTCTCTCTCAGGTTGTAGAAACAGGGCTGCCCACTGAGGCTCGGTGACTCAAAGCAGCAGCCCTGCTTGATACAGTCAGTGCTGCTGATAGCGGGCGGGCCACACGGCAGCCTCCAGGCCGGCTCCGGGTCACACACAGCAGAGGCCAGGAGGGGCAGAGCAGCCCAAAGGCACAACCAGCAAACCAACCAATATCCCATCGCGCTCCCTGAATCTGTGCAGGGCCCTGAGCACCAGCCCGCTTTATAGCCAGCAATTGGTGAGGAACCAATCGCAGTGTAGCCGCTTCCTGCCCCACGGGGTTTTACTGCAGTTCCCAGTAAATCGATCCTTTCTGTCAAGTTTATTGTGATCTCTGAACAGCCTCTGAACACGCGGCTTAAAGAACAATTAATTCCTTCCGTGTTTCATTCATTCGGGCAAACCCTAACTGCTCTTCCAACTTTACATTTCAGATCATGGAAAATTTAATCCAGGTTTGTAACACCAGGTCTATCGGTTCGGACTTTACCTGTGGGCAGCTAAAGGTAAATAAAGGTGAGGGAACAAAGTACATTTGGAGGATCCCTCTTCAGAATTTGTCCTTTAGTATGGAGCTAACGTCCCCCATGCGGCACTCCCACCAGGACCACTCAGCTCCTGACCTCATTACAGCCTTGGTTCAAACATGGACAAAAGAGCTGAATTCCAGAGGCGAGGTGAGAGTGACAGTCGTTGACATCAAGGCTGCATTCGACCGAGCGAGGCATCAAGGAGCCTGAGCATGGACTGACTCACTCACTTTCTGGGACAGACGGATGGACGCAGGCCCTCACTGAAGTTCCGGGATGATGGGGGCGGGGATGCTCTGGTCCTTGGTAACGGTTACGGGAAGCAAGCAAGCAACGCGACTGAGAAACATATTCGCTGTGAACAAACGGTGCAACAGATCTGATGGGCTAAATTGCCTGCTTCTGCGCCTAGTTATGGTTTTAGGAATCGATCACCCCTTGATGAGAGGGATATGTCAGCAAGTTATTACCTGGAAAGTTCAAATTTCCTAATCTCATTGTTTCCACAGCTCATTTTATTCTCTGGAATGACTGTAGCTGACACTGGAAACATGATTCATTATTCTGATCAAGACTACGTTTCAGGGTGATATTTAAGTTTTTGAATCATCATCTGGGAGTTTATCCCTGATTTTTTTTCTTTTCCTCAAATCTTTCATGTCTTAAACATAAGGGAGGACCACAGGATCTAAGGAAGCTTCCCCCTAAAACATTTATTTTTGGTTCCACAACATTACCTCTCATTGTTTATTTCAGTGAATAGGGGCTTTATCTAAACAAGAACAAGAAATTCAAGTTGAGAAATCACATCCTATTTATTCTTCACTGCTATGTCATCTTTTACCCCTACTGGTTTAAGTATGATTATCAAATTGGGACTAATCTATCCAAAGACAAAAATGAATTAGCTGATCTATGATGTGAACATCACAAACAAGGGTTCGAGCTTGTGTTCAGCCAGAAACATGCTTAACTCCACCTAAAGGGACAGGGTGAGATAGGGAAAGCTGACTGACACTGTCGTAGGAATGTCATGAGACAAGGTCAAAGGATGATGATGTACTGCCATCTGATCAGGTAGTGTTGCTGGCATGATGATTGGAGTACAGAGTAACTAAGGATCGTGAAGAATCTGATCTAAGTCCTCCTATCAGTCTCTAATGTATATCAAATCATCGTCATGTGTTGAATGGTTGCAGACATGCGATAAACGATTGTCTTGCTAACTGCAATACTGGCTTATAGTTAGACCTGAAGGTGGCCATTCTCATTACAATCGGCCATTTGGGACCGAGATAAATGAATAACTGGAAGGTATTGGCAATGGTGAAGCCAATGACAGACCTTGCACAGCAATAGAGACACAGCCATGTTTTAAAACAGGAACAATTTGCACTCTGAAGGAATGTGAAGCATTATAATTGCTCAGACAGGTTGATGGTCAGTCATTAGCGTTTGTCATCAAATGAGCACTTGCACTAAATGACTAAATGTCATTCCAGGAGGTGTCGTGGGAAATCAATGTACAAATGGGGAAATCTCATTCAGATCACAAAGAGGGTATGGGCTACTTACTGTTTCAGCATAAAATGGTTTGGGTTGATTTGCAATTCAAGCTGATGTCTTACAGCAAGTTACTTCATCTTTTAACATCAATGACAGTCATTCTTCACATTGCCAAGTTTCTCCACACTGGGCTGTGAATATACACCCTTCATTAGCTCGAGGCCATTGGTCTAACCCTGACCATGTAAGACAGGAGCCAAATGGCTGATTGGAAAACGTGTATTACTGAGCACCCAAACGTCAGGAATTTCGTATTTAAAAAGTACTTGGATACCGATTTTCTACTTTCTTATTCTCGCTAACTCATTTAGCGGGTGATGCTGTTGTACAGTAAAAAAGCCTTTATTTCTGTAATGACAAATGGTTGTTTCGTCTCACTCTGAAGAATTAGAATATTTCATCAATGTCCTCAATTTTTACCATTCACTAAACTTAAAACTATGACACAAGTGAAACATTAATTTCCTAGACACTGCAGTATTTATAATTGCTGTGAGACAATCTGTTTTCCCACTTCCTATTACTTCATTGGTACAGGAATGATATCTGGGAATGCACCAACAGCATGCCATTTTTCTGCTCTACTCAAAACCGGCTGCACAGCATGGTCCTGAAGCAGCCGGTTATTGTAAGATGAAGTCTTGCCACAGCTCATCTTGGTGCAAAATCCATCCCATAGCTTTGCTGCCAACATCCTGTTTCCTGGGGGGGATCTACAGGGCCGCCTTGGTCTGTGTGCTTGAGAAAAACCTCCTGCAGTCTAATGAGAAGACAATCTCATCTTAAAAACAATGTCTTTCCCTCTCTACCTGCTGCAGACCCAGTCTAGCAGTGATATCTGTTAGGACTTGATCAGTGGTGCTGCTGCCAAGCAATTCTTGGTGGGGAACATCGATATTCCTCACCCAGCGTACATTCTGTACATTTGCCAACATCACTGATTTTCCCCAAATGGTGTTGACCATAGAGGAATATAGTTTCATTAGCCTCAGGCAGGGCACAATAAATGGTAATCAGCAGTTGATTTCCTTGCCCATGTTTGACCTGATGCCATAAGACTTTGTGGGGTCTGGAGTCAATGATGAGCACTGCCAGGATAGCTCCCTCCTGAATCTATACCACTGTGTTGCAACCTTGGCTGGACCTGTCCTGCCTGTGAGACACGGCATATCCAGGGCTGGTGACAGTATCACCTAGAACATCGTCAAGTAGCATTCTGTGAATGTATCAGGCTGTTGCTTGGCTGGTCTGTGAGACAGCTCTCCCAATTTTAGCACTAGCCCTGAGATAAGAAATACTTTGCAAGGCTAACTGGGCTGAGTTTATAGTTAGTTTCAGATTGCTGAGTTTATCATTGCCATTCTGGTGTCCATGTGTTGCCAAGTGGTCTGTTCAGTTTCATTTGTTTTGAAACTTTAATGGTTTGTAACAACTGAATTGCTTACTCACGCACGTGACCCCAGCAAAGAAATTTTCCCCTAGTTATCCCCACCTAACCTGGCTTTAAAAAAGATTGTCAACTTGTTGTGTTATAAAGTTGTGTAGAGTACTCACGCATTGGAAGGCAGGAAGTTTGAAATTGTTCGTAAACAGGGCAGAGTGTTCTGAAATTGAAACATGTATCAATTGGCTATGTCATTGAAAACCTTAGGCTTGTTTTGATGTTTTGGCAACAAGCTTGAATCAGCCAATTAATTCAAACCAAGCACTTAGTGATTCAGAAACCAATTGAATTGAAATCGATTGGTTTTGAAAACCTTGGACTAATGTTACTTTAAGAAAATTGATGTGTCATCTGAGGTGTATAAAAGGAGAGCAGCTTTGAAAAAAATTGGTGTGAGAATAAACTGCCATCTGAGAAGTAAACATAGCTCTCACTGAAATCTGAGCTCTCTGTCAGAAAGCAACATCTATCCATAAAAGATACTGTGGCACTTCCAGCTAAGAGTTCTCACAGACAACTTCACAAAGATATCATTCCTGACAGCAGAAGGAGTGGAAGAAAGGCAGTTTTGAGTTGAGAACAGCACAAGAAAGCATTTACGACTGGAGGGACAGCGGAGAAGTTGGAGCATTCCTGAAGAAACATTGGTGTGGATGTTGAAAGACTAAGTTTTAATTTATTTTCTCCCCCATTACTTGGGTTATATAGATGGGACTTGTGTATACTGGAATAGCATATCACCAGTATTTTGTTCAGTTAAGGAATAGTTAGGAGTTGGTGGGGGGTGGGGGAAGGGGTGTATTGTTCAGTTTGTTAGCAGTTTCGTTAATTTGCTCACTATTATGATAAATACATTTGTTACTTGTTAGTGAAAAATTGAATATCAGGGATTTGCTTTCATTTAGCCTCACCTTCCCCGTAACAGATTAGGGGCTCAAGTCTGGCATCTGCCTGGTTTGTGAATGGGACCCGAATGGATTTGAACAGATTTAAAACAGAGTCGGGAAATTAGTGTCCTAGATCTTTAAATGCAATCTAGGTGAGGAGTTTATTTAATTTCAGTTACTTGTGGTTGGTTAAATCAAAAAAGTGAGGGAAATGGCTCTTAACACTGCTGGAGGGGTTCTGGGGTTTGAGGATGCTTCCCAAATTTAGAAAGACAGAGGAAGGATATACTTTTAGACTTATCAAACAGGTTGGATTTGGGTTTAACTAGGGACAAGAGGAAAGCTGAAATTGTAAAAGGAGTTAGTCAAGAATTTAGGTATAACCAGAGAAAGAGGCAAGTGCAAAGGAGTTAGAAAAAAATTAAATTGAAAGTTAGAAAATTGGAGTTTGACAATAAAGAAAAGGAACTGAAACTGTTGGAATAATGGTTACAAGTAGAGAGAAGAAAGAAAAAAAAAGTTTGACATTTAGAAGTTGCAAATTAAATAGGATAGCTGACTTAAAAAGGGATGGAGATGAAGGTAGAAGATAGGCTTAGTGAGGAGGAGAGTAATGATGAGCAAACCCATGAAAGCGAAAGACCTGGGAGGGATACATACAAATATGTCAAAGCATTACCAAAATTCATTGAAAGAGATGTAGAAGCAGTTTTCATTTCCTTGGAGAAACTGGCCAGGCAGACGGACTGGCCAGAGACTGTGTGGGTAATGTTAATTCAGACCGAGTTGGTA